ACCTTAGTATCCTCTTCACAACTGCTGGATGTGATACCTTTGGCTTCTGCATGAATCTACTTACCATACCTACACTGTATGCTAAGTCAGGCCTTGTATGACAAAGGTATCTCAATGATCCAATAAGTCTTCTGTATTGGGTTGGATCAACATCATCTTCATCAACATCTTTCGACAATTGCAGTCTTGGTTCTGCAGGTGTCGAAGTTGCGTTGCATTCTTCCATCTCAAACCTCTTGAGAATTTCTCCTGCATATCTTCTTTGATGCATCATCAAACCTCTACTGCTCTTGTAGAATTCGATACCAAGGAAATATGAAATCTCACCCAAATCAGACATTTCGAATTCCTTGCTAAGGTCAACTTTGAAGTCTTCGATATCACTTTTACAGCTACCTGTTATCAACAAATCATCTACATAGAGACATAGTATAAGCAATTTACTCTTGCTTCTTCTTACATATACTCCATATTCAGTTATACACTTCACAAATTCCTTCTCCCTTAGAAAACTATCAATTTTCTTATTCCAAGCCCTTGAAGCTTGTTTCAATCCATACAGGGCTTTATGTAGCCTGTACACCTTTCTTTCTTCGTCATGTTTCACAAACCCAACTGGTTGTTTAACATAGACTTCTTCATCTAAGGGTCCATTTAGAAATGCACACTTCACGTCCATCTGACATATGTGCCAACTGTTGATTTCTGCTAGACCAACAACCAGCCTGATTGTTTCGATTCTAGCAACAGGTGCAAAAACTTCGTCGAAATCTATTCCTTCTTTCTGTAGAAATCCTTTCGCCACAAGTCTTGCTTTGTGTCGAGTTACTTCACCTTTCGAATTCGTCTTCACTTTGTATACCCACTTGACATTAATTGCCTTCTTGCCTTGAGGCAATTCGACAAGTGACCAAGTGTTATTGTCTTTGATAGACTTTACTTCTTCGTTCATTGCTTTCACCCACTTCGAATCCTTTAATGCTTCAGCTGTATTAACAGGTTCGACATCTGCATAGAAAGCATAATGTACCAGCTCACAATCTTGCAATCTTGCAGGCATGCGTCTTGTTCTTTGAGGTCTGCTTGTACTGGGTATATCTGCTGGCTCCTCTTGTCGAACTTCTCTTTCGACTTGAGTTTCTGGCTCTTCGAATAAGATTCCCACTAAATCTTTCTTGACATTTGCAGTCCAATCCCATTATTTGAACTCATCTATGATCACGTCCCTGCTGATCACAATCTTCTTGTTCTCTGGATCGAACAACTTGTAGCCTCCTGTCGAATGATATCCAACTAGGATCATTTGACTTGACTTGTCATCAAGTTTCTTTCTCAACTGATCTGGCACATGTCTATGTGCAATAGATCCAAATACTTTCAGATGACTTAAGCTAGGCTTCACACCAGACCAACATTCTTCTGGAGTAATTCCTTCTAGCTTCTTTGTAGGACTTTTGTTCAAAATGTATGTTGCAGTCGAAACAGCTTCTCCCCATAATTCTTTGGGTAAATTCTTGCCTTTCAACATACTTCTCACCATGTTCATGATGGTTCGATTTTTCCTTTATGCAATTCCATTTTGCTGTGGAGTATAGGGTGGCACCACCTCATGCATAATCCCTTCTTTTTCACATAATCTGTCGAAGTCTTTCGACACATATTCTCCTCCACCATCAGTTCTTAAAACTTTGAGCTTTCGTCCACTTTGTCTTTCGACCATAGACTTAAACCTGGTGAATACTTCGAACACTTCACTTTTCTTCTTGATCAGGTAAGTCCATAGATTTCGACTGAAATCATCTATGAATGTAACAAAGTATTTGTTACCTCCCATCAAATCCACCTGGATTGGTCCACATACATCAGAGTATATGACTTCGAGATTAGCCTTTGATCTGCTTCCTGCATCCTTGCTGAAGCTGTTCTTGTGTTGTTTTGCCTGCACACATTCTTCACATACTTCGTTTGGGATGTCAATTTCAGGCAATCCTGAAACCATATTTTTTCTCTTCAAATCTCTGATGTCTCTGAAGTTGAGATGACCTAGTCTATAATGCCATATCCATTCATCTCTGCTAGCTGCAGTCGAAAGGCACTTGTGCTCCATCACATTTAGTTCAATCTTGAAGGTTCGATTCTGAGACATAGGAGCCTTCAAGATTAATCTCCCATTTGCATCAACGACTCTCATCAACTTATCTTTGATTGACACTTTATAATTATTTTCGACCAACTGCCCTATACTGAGCAAATTGCTCTTCATGCCTGGTATGTACAATACATTCGAAATTACTGACTTCTTGCCATCTTTCCTCATGATCATAACATCACCAATACCTTCAGCTGCTAGGGTGTTGTCATTTGCAAATTTTACCATATTTTTCGTTGAGCGTTTTATATTGACGAACCAGTCTTTCCTTCCAGACATATGTGATGAACATCCTGAATCCAAGTACCATTGGTCCTTGAATCTGTCTTCATCTCTTGTTGTGACCATCAGCATCATCTCTTCTTCTTCTTCTTCATGTTTTGCCAGCTTTGCATCACTTTCTTGATTCTTTCATTTTTCTGGACAATCACTCGAATAGTGACCATACTTCTGACAATTGTAACATTGAATGTGACTCTTATCAGGTTTTCGACCACCACCTCTTCCTCTATTTGCAGCACCACCTCTTTGGTTGCCTTGGTGTGGTCTTATTTGATTCGACACGTCTCCTTCGATTTGGTTTCCTCTACCATTCGATTTGTTGTAGCCACCTCTACTTCTGTCGAAATACTTTCCTTTGCCTTTGGTCTCTTTTGCTGAATGTGCCTGCAAGGCCATATCACTCTTTGATTTTCCTGCAGCTCTTTCGTTCATTCTTTGTTCATGAGATTCGAGCGTCCCTTGAAGCTCTTCCTTTGTCAATTTCGACAAGTCTTTCCCTTCTTCGATCGCCACCACTATGTGGTCCAACTTAGGAGCTAAGGATCTCAAGATCTTCAAAACAACAACTCTTGTTGTTAATGTTTCTCCACATGTCTTGATTTGATTCACTAGTTTTGTAACTCTAGTGAAGAAATCAGATATGTTTTCACTGTCTTCCATCTGAAGCAGTTCATAGGTCCTTTTGTGAGTTTGTAACCTCACTTTTTTCACCTTCTCAGCGCCTCCAAAAGATTTCTCCAGGATCTCCCAAGCTTCTTTTGCAGATTCTGAATCACTAATCTTTTCGAAGTTGTCTGGGCTGACACATTGATGAATTATAAACATGCTTTATAACTTTGTTTCTCAGATTCTGTGTATTTCTTCTTTTCTTCTTCTGAAGCATTTTCGCCAAGCGCTTCGACTCCATATTTTACAAGGTCCCAAAGGCCTTGACACCTTAATAGGACTTTCATCTGTTTGCACCAATTCTCATAGTTGTCAACTTTCAGAATTGGCAGGGTTGCTGGATAGTTTGCATTCCCATAACTTGTCATCGTGAATTCTTCAATCGTTCTTGATTGATACTTCCCTTGAATCGTAACACAAACTCTTGATACCAGATGTTGGAAATCCACCAATACTTTATGATAAATTTCGACCACCACTGATGATTAGTTATGACAAACAAATAAAAGAACAATGGAGATATTTCTGCAGAATTTCTATTCTGCCCACAAACTGTGGAATCTTTATTAATTCACTTTGCAACAGCAAAATACTGTGAATGACTTAATTACAAAATAGGGGTTACTCCCTCTATTTATAGATTTTGGTTAGCTTGCTCTCTAAGCTAAACCCAAGCCCAAAATATCTCTTTACTAAATCAAATCTAATCTAGATTTAAATTCAAATCTATTTAAATCTAAACAAATCAAATCTTCTTTTGACACATATGAATTACAATTTAACACCACTCCATAAAAACATACGACAAATGGAGTTAATCTTTTGAATCACACATTTGGGAAACAGAAAGCATTACATCCAGTAATTTGTGGTTGTAAAGGTGACACTTTTGATGAGAAGAACCCTCCATGCATAAGTGAGAAGTCGTGAACTCTAGTGGGTTATTTTGCCAACAATTTTATCAATGAGACTATTGTAACATTGTATCGTCAGTCGCTTACTTGACATCAGGACGCCTAGGTACCAGAAAGGAAGAATCCCTTTAACAAAACCAATGGCTTTCTTTACATCCTCAATTGTTTGCTTGTCCATTCCTGCACAGAAAATATAAGATATTTGTAGAATTGAATTTCAGGCTTGTTGAATTCGAAAATACCATAAACGCATCCATCATAAGTTTGAAAGACTCCAAGTTACCCCTGGCAAATAACAATAAGTAATCAGTAAAGCATAAATTTGTGATGCCCAACTTCTCGCACTTCGAATGAAAATTGAAATTTGGAACTCTTTTCAATCTCTTGAGGCATCTGGTAAGGTACTCCATCATGATGACAAATAATGGAGGAGACATTGGTTCTCCCTGATGAAAACCATGCTTCGCTTCCATAGTATTTGTGTAGTTACCATTGATGTTAAAGCGATACGACACATTGATCACTGCATGCATCACCCACCCAAAAAATTTAGTAGGGAATCCAATTTCAATAAGGACTTTTCCATAGCTTTCCAATCAATTGTGTAATGGGCCTTTTGGATATCCACTTTTATCATACACCTTGGAGGTCCACCGCATCTACTGTAACCTTTAAGCAATTCATATGTCAGGAGAATATGGTGGGATAACCTGATCGACCACAAATGCAACCTGATTCTGATCCACAATGCTAGTCAACACTTTTCCCATTCTCGTTGTCATAATTTTGGATATAATTTTATAGATGGTGCTGCAACATGATATAAGCCTATAGTCTTGAATCTTCTTCGCCTCTTTACTTTTAGGAATCAGTGTAACAAGAGTATAGTTGGCTGCTCTAAAGATTCTCCCATGGAAGTATTTATTGTTTCCATCCCTCAATCTAAGCCAATTCACTTTTGCCTTTTGCCTTAAAACTTTCTCCTCAATTTATCGTCTCTCAACAAACCCATCACTAAGCTTTCGAACCATGTCGATTTTAGAAGAATACATCATGTCTCCCTTAAGCTCCAGTTGTACCCTCTGCAGATCATCCCTTGCTTGTTCAATTTTCGTGCACAAGTCATATAAAGGTTTTGACATAATCCTTAGAATCGATTGCAGCCTCTTTAATTTCTTCCAAATCATAACCATAGCTCTTTCAAAGGTAGGTTCGTTCCAACTGGATCTCATCCTATTCTCAAAATCTCCCATGTATGCAATGATATTTGTAAATTAGAAGTGGCTCTTCATTTTCCTCCCATCATTTATGTTTGGCTTTAGGCACAAGGGTGCATGGTCCGAGACACTAGGTTGAATGACGGTGAGAGTGTAATCCTAGTATTGTTACAGCCAATCCATATTCCCAATTAATTTGTCTATCCTAGAATAGATGACACTTTCGATTTGGTTGTTTGACCATGTGAAGTGTTGGCCCTTACTTTCCATTTCGTGCAGCCCAACTACCTCTATTAGTTTGCATAAGTCTTTGAATTCCACCTTAGTCACATTTCTACATCTTATTCTGTCATTGTACTTCAACACATTATTGAAGTCTCCCATCAAGAACCACGGTCCTTGTTGGTTCCTGTGAATTGCTGCAAGTTGATTCCATAATATTTTCCTATTTTTCATCTGGTTTTGCACATAGATCGATGTCATCCAATATAACCACTTTCCATCGCAATCATCCATAGTGTAATGAACCATTTGATCAGTTTTCTTCACCACTTGAACCTTAATCTTGTTGTGATTCCAATAGACCCAAATTCTTCTATTAGCATGTTTTTCATAAATGTCGATGTAATTTCCATACAACTTCATTTTGTTCCTAATATTCCCGGATTTGTTTCCTTTCACCCCAGTTTCAACCAATATTGCAATATCAGGGTTTAGGCTTAAGAGGCGGGAGCTAATCTGTTTTACCTTGCTTATTTTGTTAAGCCCTCTCATCTTCCAAGCTAAGATCATGGTACATCCTCAAGAAACATTATGGATCTTCCTACCCCTAGTGTCTCAAAGTCGGTTTCACAAGATATACTTCCTATTTGCACCTTTGATTTCCCTCTGTCCCTAGTTCCTTTGATAACTATCATATATTCTTTTTTAGCATTTGGATTGATAGTTATAGTTTGAGTAGGTTGTATAGATTGTGTAGGAGTGACATTACTTGGACTTTTACATTGCATTGTCTCTTCCTTGCCTAGAGGTTTAGGCATCCATTGTTTCACGATTTTCTCACAACACCCATGACTAATATTTGGCAATTTTCACAATATCTTGGCCTCCACTCATATTCTACTGGTTGTTTCATTTTCCTCCCTTCTGCATCCCTAATCGTGATCTCTTTGACAGGTTCTTGGGTTATGTCCATCCACCAATATCCTGGAAAAAGAGATTCTATATTTGTTTGTAGTGCATTCGTCAATAACTATCGGAGTTCCCAGAGCGCTACCAATTTTGCCCAGGCTTTTTGTTCCCCACAAGTGTAGTGGAAGTTGAGGTAGCTTGACCCATATTGGAATTGTTTGCAACATATCATCCTTGATCCTGAAATCTAGTTTCCACTCCCTCAACAACATGGGTATATTCCTTACATTGTATGGCCCCTTCATAACAACATAGTCCCTTTCATCATATAAGTGAAATTGTAAGATGAAATTATAAAATCAAACTTCTCAAATGAACTTTTGTTTTGATGAAGACAAACCATGATTGACAAAGAAGGCAAAGATTTTTAATCAAGCTCAAGGCATCTATGGATAAAGTCTTCAGTTCAAGCTCTTAGCAACTTTCAAGGTATAATGATAATATTTACTTCGAACTTAAGACATAGATGCTCAATGATGAAAAGAAATGTTTTATAAATCATTACTCAAGTTTTTTCAAAGTTAAAATTCTTTATTCACTTGAGTGCAATCGATTTGCATATTAGTGCAATCGATTGCATGCTTCAAAAATTTAGATCTTTTGCTTCTGTTTCTCAGTGCAATCGATTTACATTGCTTGTGCAATCGATTGCATGCTTAAAATTTTCAAAATGTTTGCTACTGTTTCTCAGTGTAATCGATTTACTTTGCTTGTGCAATCGATTGCACTCAATCAAATTTTGCTACTAACTTCACATGCAATCGATTTACATTCTTATGCAATCGATTGCACACTTAAAACTTTTGAAAATATAGTTGTTAAAACCCCGTGCAATCAATTTACACAAAGGGTGCAATCGATTGCATGCTGCACGATTTTGAAAAACAGCAGCTTTGCACATGCATGTTCATAATACCTTTTCATTGAAACCTTTCACTCAATCTTGGCAATTGTTCATGATTCATTTACAGAACTTTATGATGTTTCAAAAGGGTGTTATGAACATATAAATATTCATATTAAAAATCATTTTCAACACCTCTTCCAAATATTTTTTTCTTCTGAATTTTCAAAATACAAACTCAAGCTTTTCTTCACCTTCATACATAAGTTTTCTGCACACTTTCATACATTGTTAAACATAAAACTTTGAGCAATTATATCTTGAGTCATTGTGCAATATTATCATTGGAAGAGAAGAACATTCATTGTAAAATCACTCTAATTGATCAATACTACTCAACTCACTCAAAATCAAATATTGATAGATACTTACTTATTTTTCCAAGATTGTTGGAAATAAGTTTAAGTGGTTTTATAAATCTTATCTTTCCAGGATTATTGGATACAAGTGTAGTCACTTTGAGAGGATTGTTCTCATTTTTGACATAGTGAAAATCCAAGAGGATTGTTCTTGGTCCAAGAGGATTGTTCTTGGTCCAAGAGGATTGTTCTTGGTGGTTTTATTGGTTAGAGTCTTGTATAGAAGGACTAGGGTGTCTTGTCTAGAGATCTAACAATAAGAAAATCTCTTTCATGTTGAAAGGGGACTGGAGTTCTCTCAGACTGTAAGGGGAACCAGGATACATCTCTGTGTTCTTTACTTTTCCGCATTTACCGCTTTCATCACTAGTTATAAACCAGAAAAGAAAGAAACACACTTGTAAACTCATGCACTAAACCAGAAAAATAATATTCATCATCACTAAAACGATAAAACTTTTAAAGTACCTAATTCACCCACCTCTTAGGCGCACTCTTATACTTACAATTGGTATCAGAGCAGGTTATAGGTAATCTGCTCCTAAAAGATCCAGAATGGCTTCCACAAATCAAAATTCCGTTTTCAGAGATGGTGGTAGTAACAACAAGCCTCCTCTATTTTGTGGTGAATATTTTGACTTCTGGTAAATACGCATGAAGGCACATCTAGAAGCACAAGGAGAAGAAATATTGGATGCCGTCGAGAATGGTACATTTATTCATATAACGGTAATCAATGGTGTTGGCTCATCAAAGCCTAAAGCTGCATGGGACGAAGATGATAAGAAGAAGGTTCTCTATGATAAAAAGGCAATAAATCTTCTTCAAGGTGCACTTAGAATGGATGAATTCTTCTGTGTCTCGGCATGCAAAACGGCGAAAGAAATATGGGATACCCTGGTAGAAACTCATGAAGGAACCGCTGAAGTTAAAAGATCGAGATTAAATACATTGAGTCAAGAATACGAACTATTCAGAATGCAGCCCCGAGAATCAATCCTCGACTTGCAGAAAAGATTTGTACACTTGACAAATCATTTGAAAGCACTCGGTAAGACTTTAACTAATGATGAACTTAATCTTAAAGTGCTTAGATCTTTATCCAGGGAATGGCAACCAAAAGTGACAGCAATATCCGAGAAGAAGAATCTATCCACAATGACTTCCGCCACTTTGTTCGGAAAACTTCAAGAATATGAGACGGAACTTGCAAGACTCGAAAAGCATGAAATCCAAGTAAAAGATTCAAAAGACATGGCTCTAAATACAAGGATAAAAAATCATGATAGCAATCAAGAGGATGAATCCACTAGTAGTGAATATGACGATCTTATCGAGAAGATTGAAAAGGTTCTACAAAAAGAAAGAAAAAGGGAAGCACCAACAAGGAAGGTTATATGCTTTGAATGTGGAGAAAAGGGAGATGTTAAAAGTGAATGTCCTACACTTGAAAAGAAGAAGAAAATTTTCAAGAGAAATAAAGATTAAAAGTCAAAGAAAGCATATATAGCATGGGAAAGTTCATCTTCCAATTCTGAAAACAATCAACACGTTAATCTTGCATTGATGGCCTCACACCATTCCGATGATGAAGACAATGAGGTTAGTAATGAATTTTCTCTTTTTGATAGTGATGCACAAGGTGCTATAGATGAACTATTAAATGAATGTAAAATTCTGTACAAAACTATTTCATCTCAAAAGAAACAAATTTCATCTTTAGAAGAAAAATGTGAGTCTATGGAAAAAGATCTCAAAGATGAAAAACAAAGATTTAGTGTGCAAAAACAGAATTTTGTTTGCAAAAATTGTGAATCACTATCTTTCCAAATTGTCCAATTAAACATAGTTATTGAAAGATATGAAAAAGGTCAAATTGGATTGGAAGGTGTTCTTAGCCAACAAATATATTCCAATGATAAAAGTGGTCTTGGATATTCAAAGTTTTCAAAACCAAGTTCTAATAAAACTATCTTTGTTAAGGCTAGTGATCAATCATCCAAAGAGAAAGTGAACAAACCTAAAGTAGTTCATCAAAAGAAAACATTTCCTAAGAAGAAATCTTACCCTTCTAGATATAGAAGTAACTTTGAACCTACTTGTTTTTATTGTGGTATTGTTGGCCACACACCTAATGCTTGCTATGTTACAAACTTTAGTGTGGCAAGTGGACATTATGTGTGGGTAAAGAAAGGAACTAACTATGATGGACCCAAAGCACATTGGGTACCAAATCAAACTTAATTTGTTTTGTAGGTATGCTTGATGACCACATGTAATCTTTGGTATCTTGATAGTGGTTGTTCAAAGCATATGACGGGAGATACACACTAACTTTCAAATCTAGTTCAAGTCCAAGGATTATTTCACATATGGGAAATACCTTAAAGGAAGAATTCTTGGCATTGGAAAAATTGATACACTAACTTTCATATCCATTGAAGATGTACTTTATGTTGAAGAACAAAAGACAACTTCTAAGTAAAAGACAACTTTGTGTCAAAGGCTTCAATATCATGTTTTGATGAAGATAACTACTATGTGCATTTATCAAAGGATGA